GTTGAATTTGATAAATCTAACCTCTCATCGATCTCATGTGTTACTATTTGTCGGTTTGCATCAACTAATGCCATTATTTTGTCAGCAAAAAACGAAACGACTTTTCAAACCACCTAATATATAAATTCATACAATATATATACATATATATAAGTATACTTATACAAATGTATGAATACGTAGCACAAGTTTCAATATGACTGTTTATTTGTGATCCATGCCTTTCCCATATGGGGAAAGGAGGAATGGGAAAAGAAAAATATAACATAGAATTTTAAAGTCATGGTGTTATTTTTAAGTCATCGTTCAAACATCAAAACGATATTTATGACGATAAAATAAAAATGCACAAATACCTTGGGAAAAATATTGTTATGTCTCTTTTTCTTACTGTCCTTGTTTGTAGTTTTTTTATTTATTTATTTATATCTTTCACTTTTTTATCATTATTATTATTATTATTATTATATATAAATTTAAAAATATTTTCTTGTAATCTTTAAGAAGTATCTTTAATGAAATGCCAAGTTATTAACAGATATTGAATTTGCAGAAAAAGGTTATAAATAAAAGATAAAAATCATTTTTTAAAAGAACCTTAATGGGTGAGGATAAAAAAAAAGTGTCTATTGGATACCATCTGATCCGATAAACATTAATTTCTCTACCTTTTCTTTTTTTTATTTTTATTTATGTTTATTTATAATATATCTTCCATTCATATTTTTTTATTTTTTTATTTATTTTTTTTTTTTGTTACTTTCTCTCTAATAGAATTAATACATACTCGTCGTAATTCTCAGAAAAATATCGATGATAGAATTGTGAAACAAAAAAATGCTTTTCTTTTTTATATAAACAAACAAACAAATGGATTTAATTATTTAAAAAGAAAAATATTACAAAGATTGATTATTTGTTTTCTATTTTTTTGTTTTATTTCTTGTTTTTTTTTTTTTTTTTTTTTTTTCATTTTACTTGTTTTCAAACATCGAAATAATTTGGATGATAGAACAGATATAAACATTATCCCTTACTAAAAATAAATCTTATCCTTATCTAGCTAGGGATTTACAACAAGTGGATTCGTGAAGCCACCGATGCACATTTCTAGGCTTTCGTTATACTATTTCATTTGAAACAGGTCACGTATCACATGAATATATATATTTACCTAAGTAAGGATACATATGTGCATACATACATACATACATACATACATACATTTATGTATGTCTTTATTTCCAAGTCCAAGTTCAATTTATTGCATTTCAACCGTGACACTTTCAATTGAAATTCCAGTTAAATTCACTTAAGTTTTCCTTTTTTACGGTTCACCGTTATTATCATTACTTTATCTATCGATGCCAATTTCTATACCAACGTTTATGGTAATTCCCTCTTATTATTTATTTTTTATGTGAATCTTTATCATTTTTATTTATAATCCTTTTTTATAAGATTTTCATAGAATTTATCAGAAGTTATTAAATGTAATAGTTAAAAGTTAATAATTTTATAAAGAATAATTTTTCTGTATAGTTTCACAACTAATTGAAAATAAAAAGAAAGAAAAAAATAAAACAAGATTACCATCCCTTGGATAAAAAGTCTAAGAAAAAAATTAATTAAAAATTATAAAATTCATTTTACGTTAGAAACTTTTAACTGGAGATACTATGTCGTTTAAATATTAATCAACTATACGTAATTGTATTTAATTATTTTCAAAAAAAAAAAAAAATAATACATATATTAATAGAGATTTGTTTTTTTATTAATTATTTAACGCAACTACTTGTGAATTAAATTTTGTATTAAAAATAAAATCTATTGTGAAAAATAAATAATATAATAATATATGATATAATTTATTGAATTTATTAAATATTATAATAATATAATAATATTATTTATTTTTTATAATAAATATTATTTATATTATATATAAATTATAAATTATAAATTAAATAATAAAATATACAATGAAAAGAATTAATTATAAATATAAATTATGAATATTAAATTAAATAATAAAATATAAATAAATAAAAATAAATTATAAGTAAAAAATTAAAAAATATAAAATTTAAATATATAAATATTATATTATAATTAAATTATAAATATAAATTATAAATTATAAATTAATTAATAAAATATACGATGAAAAAAATAAATTATAAATGTAAATTATAAATAAATATTATAATAAAATAAATATTATATTATATAATGAAATGATAAATAAACTATAAATTATAAATGATAAATATTATTTCATTTTTAACAAATAATATTATCAAATATATTTGATAATTGAAATTGAAATATATTTTGATGTGTTCAAAAAAGAAAAAATTTTAAAACACATATAAACATATTACACGTTTTATTATTGGTGTCCTAAGATATTTTTATACCAACGATAGTAATTTGAACATTTAAAACGCAAACCACACTCTGTCTCTCTCACGAGGTTCTCGAGAACTCTTGAGACGGTGGGGGTGGTTCTCTTTGGTCTATTTAAATCATGAATCGCATGTCGTAGGTCAAATGGGTTTTACGTTTGCAAGCAAATGAAATTTAAAGTAAGAGAAACTTCACTTTTGTTTCCTATACAAATAACTAAATTCACTTTATTTCTTTTTATTCTTCTTCTTCTTCTTCTTCTTTTCTAGTATCCTTTGATTCATTTCATCTTACGTTTTAATAACCAACACGATTTAAAACAACGTTAAACGATTATTATTACTTAATATTATTTATTAATTAAATTATTTTTTTCTCTTTTTTTTGTTTTTTTTTTTAAATTCATTCGAATATTTTCAATCGAATAAATTGGTACGAATTTTATTTTTTTTGTGTATGCTTGTTTCTTTTTTTTATTGATTCATTTCATCTTACGTTTGAATATCCAACACGATTTAAAACAACGTTAAATGATTATTATTACTTAATATTATTTATTAATTAAATTATTTTATATTTTCTTTTTTTCTTTTTTCTTTCTTTTTGAAATTCATTCGAATATTTTCAATCAAATAAATTCGTTCGAATTTTATTTTATTTTTGTGTATACTTGTTCCTTTCTTTTTTATTATTTTGTAATATTATATCTATATATATATATATTTATTTTTTTATTATTATTCTTTTTACTCGTTATTTAATTTATCGATATAGAAAGATAATTCAACATTTTCCATAGAAACTAATATGAGAAAAAAAATATATATATATTTGCATAAAAAAAAAAAATAAAATGAATTTGAATGTAAATATAAAAAAAAAAAATTGACAACTAAAACATTTTTGTTACTTTATTTTAAACAAATAATATATATATATATATAAGTTATTTGTAATATTGTTATGTAATTTCCAAATGTAAACCCCCCACTATATATATATGTAAGTGTATATAAGTCTTTAATATTGTGTTTAATAAATTTGATAAATTGATAAATGAAAAACCCTATGGGAAATATCTAGCTAATGATCTTACTCAATCGATTAATCGAAACTATATAAATTTTGCTAATCGATAACAAGGGTGTAGATACTAATGTAAGATTAATGAGCAAACAAACATTAGGGGTGTGACGATTGACGACAATGTTCTCATTTGCCAAATTGAGATTTGAGATTGTTTTTTTTTTCTTTTTTCGACAAAAAAAGGTGTGGCATAATTGAACGTGATCATCACGTGAGATAACTGGTGAGATCACTGATATCATAAAAAAAAAAATGTAATAAAAATTCAAAATTTTCATGATTTTCATTTAGAAATATAAAACTACCATTGATAATACGTGTATTTATAAAGTTTACGAGAGAATTATGAATAAAAAATATACAACGTGCTTTAAATACCATTCAATATCAAATAAAATACATTTTAAATGTGTACAATCATAGAAATCGTTTATTTCAAAACGATAATAATAATAATAATACAAATAATAATAATAATAATAATTGCGCGAATGAAATTCGAAAAGAAGAATCCCAACACTTCATATGTTGTAATAAAAGTTCATTTTTTTAACTATTAAATTATACAAAAAATATTTTAATTAATCGAATTATCTTTACAATCTTTTTATTTAAATAAAATCGTATTAAATACGAACAAAAAAATTTCTTTACTTTCAAAATAATAAAATACACTTTCAAAAAAAAATCTTCTTCATTTTGTAATAAAAATCTTACATATACATTTGCGAAAAATAAAAAATAAAATATATATATAGGTATATAAAAAATATAGGTATTTTTTTATTATATAATATTAATATTTTAATTTAATTTATTAGAAATATTTTATTATATTTTTATTAAATATAATATTATAGATAATATATACAGATATATAGATATTTTATATATAAATTAAAAGATAAATATATTTATTATTATACATATATAAAATTATTTTGTATTATTTAATTAATCAAATCATCTTAATAATCTTTTTGTTTGAATAAAATCGTATTAAATATGAACAAAAAAATTTCATTATTTTGTAATAAAATTCTTACACATACATCGTGCGAAAGGATTATTGTTAATAATTAATAAAAATGATATAACACAATTAATGATAAATGCATTAAACAAATTTCATTTCTAAATCGTAGAAAATAATACATTTGATCTATAATATATAAAAAAAAAAAAGAAAAAAAAAAACCAAAAAAAAAATAATTTACATGAATCATTTAAATTGATAACATAATTTCTATGGAAAATTAATCGCATGAGTAGATATATTTGCATTTGTGTGTTGGATATCAGGTAATATTATTTAATTGGAACGAATCGATATGATGATGACTCTCTCTCTCTCTGTCTCTCAGTCATGTGGAACTATGATTAAATTAATTATTAAAAGATCCATTTACAATTGGTCGAAAATAATTAATCGTAATGGGTTATTAACGCGAAATTACTCCAATGATTTGGTTTAATGTTTAATCGATGAAATTCTATTCCAGAATCAACAGGAAGTGAATTATCCATTATACGAAGAAGGAAACAAAAAGAGAAGGAGTCAGAGAGTGAGAGAGAAAGAGAGAAGAAGTATTCGTGTTTCTAAACGATATGGAAGTAGGAGTAAGTAATTGTTCATTAAATTACATTCCCTTAATATTAAATTATATATTATATTTATAATTAATAAATATATATATATATATATATATATTATTTAGAATATTGTAATATAACATATTTTTTTTATATAATTTTGTTTATATTATTTTTTGTTTAAATTAATATATATTATTTATATTACTATAATATGAAATAATTTTCCTATATTACTTTTTTTTATATTATTTTTTTTAAATTAATATATATATTCTATATTATTAGTATAATATTTATATAAATATTTATAGAATTGTTTTCGCATTTATACGTCCTATATCTGTTATTCTACAAATTCTCGCAAAACATATCGAATACATTTTTTTATCGTATCGATAATATATATCGAATGTGAAACTACAATATATAGATAATAATAATGCTCGAAGATATATACAATAAAAAAAAAATATACAACAACAACAACAACAGAAAATAGGAATGAGATAAAATGAGCATTGATTTGTTGAAAGAGAGAGAGAGAGAGAGATGGGGTGGAAAACAAAAATAAATAGAAGAAAATTGTAATATATATTTTTCATTTGTTTTTTTTGTCTCCTTTTTTTATTTTTTGCCCTTCTTGCTTGAGGCGTGGTTTCCATAAACGTAAAAGAAATTCTTTTTTCTCTATCTCTCTCTCTCTCTCTCTCTCTCTCTCTCTCTCTCTCTTTCTTTCTTTCTCTTCCTCTCTTTCTTTCTCTCACTCTCTTTCTTTCTTTCTCTTCCTCTCTTTCTTTCTCTCACTCTCTTTCTTTCTTTCTCTTCCTCTCTTTCTTTCTCTCACTCTCTTTCTCTCTCTCTCTCTCTCTCTCTCTCTCACTCATCACATGACCCTTTTTTGCTATCATGATATTCTATTTGCTTCGGAATAAAATGAAGTGTATCGAGTAGTGACATCAAAGTTATCAAAGTGATAACAAAAATGTTCCCAGATAAAAATAATATTTTACGGGGAAAAGAAAACTGAAGGAAGGGAGAAAGGGGAAAAAAATGAGAAGAAGAAGAAGAAGTAAAAAAATTAAAAAAAATAAATAAATAAATAAACCTATCTGCTGTACCTCCTCTTAGGTTTACAATGTTAGCATTGTTAATAAAATCTCATAAGAAAAAGTATGTTTTATTAATCATACATATAATATATATATTCGTTTAATATGTATTATTATATGTAATATATAATATTATTATTATTATATATATAATACATATTCGTTTAAATGGAATCTAATCATAACGTTATATGGGATGTTCCCATAGAATCGATCCTCTCTTCAATTTTTATTATTTTTTTTTTCCATCTACTTCTTCTTCTTTTCGTTATCTTTTACATTTGTTTGTTTGAGTAATTAAATTTTTTAAAATACATATAATTTTTTTTTTATAATAATTAAATTATATTAATTATATTTTATATTTAGTTTTATTTTATTTTTTTTTTATATTATATAATAATTAAATTTTAATCTAAATCATATATAAACATTTATTATAATTTTTTTATTTTTATTTTATTAACAGTAACTCGACTTTATCATAATACTAATTCATTTTAATGAAATACAAATTAATATAGAAACAATATTTATTAGTATATGTATACATTTAGAAACAAAATTAAATTTAATTATAGTATAAAATTAATTGAATTAAATGGAAAAAAAAAAAATTGTATAATCCTTCAAATGTTATCTCATTTTTATTTTCTGACATTATATTTCGACTAATGTACTTTAATTATTTTTTTTTTTTTTTTTTATCTTTTTGTTTTGTATAATCTTCTTTACGAACAATAAGTTTGTAAAATATGAGTTTTCCATAAAAAGAAAAAAGAAAAAAAAAGATAACATACCAGATGTTATTTTTATAGAAAAAAAAAAAAAATTGAGAACAAAATTCTTTATGTATTTTTATAGAACAAAAAATGCGTATGTAGAATCACATTGGATAACTATAATTACTTTTATTAGATTTAAACGTTTCAAAATCAAATAGTCGATAATATTTTTTTTTATTTTTCTCTTGTTTTCTATTTTATTGATAACAAACATGTAGTTCTCCAAATCGTGTTGAAGTATCACGATATTCGTTTAAAAGGAATCTAATCAAATGAAATAACAGGTTATATGGGATGTTCCCATGGGATCGATCCTCCCTTCAACTTTTATTATCTTTTTTTTTTTCCTTCTTCTTCTTCTTCTTCATCTTCTTTTCGTTTGTTTGTTTGTTTGTTTGATTAATTAAAAAGAAAAAATAGAAAAAAAAAAATAGAACTGATATTGACTCCCTCCTACTCTTTTTCTACGTTGCAAGTTTGCAAATCGATTAATAGGATATACGATCACGTCGGTTGGATCGTAAAAATCACCATATATTTCGCAAGGGATCAAAATACCGGAAGTACGAGCCCGAGGATTTGATTTATAAGTACATTTTCACAGAAATTTCTATCCCCACCTTCTAATATCCGTCACGAGGGGAAAACGAAATTAGTTTTATGACTTTGCAAACATAACTATGCATAAATATTAACGTGATCGCATACGCATATATATATATGGTAAATGCTTGATCCTGTGTGTATGAAATCTTTTGATAACTATAGCTTCTTTCTTTCATATATATATATAATGTATACACATGTGTATTTAATAGTTACTTACACACCAATCATTTTTAAATTACATCTACTATCATTAATTTTAATATATATA